AGCTTTTGAATAGTTTAGAGAAATATACTGTGTAGAAGAATGTTTATGAAAATAATTTATATATTTAATTCCTGAGTCTTATTGATTTTAAAAGTTAGTTTTTCTCAAGGGATTAGAAGAATTTAAAGGTTTTGTTGTGATAGGATTTGAAATTTGTAAACATTTGTGTCTGTATGGTCTCAGATCCGGCAAGGTTCTGGCAAGATATATTTATAATTGTTTATGTAGAGAAAGGTGGCTTTTTTGACACTGTAACTCTTATTGAGTGACAGCTAGGTACTAAATGTAAAATTGGCGCTTAAATCTTTTACTAAATATAAAAGACTCCAGTGGTTCCTCCATAATGGGACAGGCACTTTAGTAGGCAGTTCAAAAATTTCTAGCTTACACTTTGGATGATACAGGGAGAGCTACTTGATATCATTCAAGAAAGAATAGAAGTAAATAGTTAATATTCTAGGCACCCTCAGACAGTTTTATACATACATACTATCTCATTTAGTCCTCACAACAGCTATGCAGGGTAAACTACCTTGATAATGGTATTATCTCCATTTGCGGGTGAGGAAAGTGAGGCTCAGAGGGATTAAGTAACTTGCCCAAAATCACACAGCCATTATGTAACAGAGCTGGGATTTGAAACCAAGTTTGTCAGATTCCAAAGCCCATGCTCTTTCCAGTACTTCACATTGAGCAGGTAAGTAGGATACTTGGCCGTGAGATTGCCTTACTTAGGGAATCCCAGACTTGAGCCTGTTTCTGTCATTGACTCACTCCTAGTCAGCCTCCTATTAGAAGAATCTGTGACTTGGGCCAAGATCAGTACTTGTACGTTACTGATCATAGTGGTACTTTTCAGAGGCTGGGGATGTGGCTCAAGTGGTAGCACGCTGGCCTGGCATGCGTGCGGCCCGGGTTCGATCCTCAGCACCACATACCAACAAAGATGTTGTGTCCGCCTAGAACTAAAAAATAAATATTAAAAATTCTCTCTCTCTCTCCTCTCTCACTCTCTCTTTAAAAAAAAAAAAATAGTGGTACTTTTCAGCTCTTTCTGGACATGGCAGTTACTCTTCCATGAAGAGGAACATAGCCAGGTGCAGTGGTGCTTGCCTATCCCAAGCGACTTAAGAGGCCGAGGCAAGAGGATCATAGGTTTGAGGCCAGCATTAGCAACTTAAGTGAGGTCCTAAGTAACTTAGTGAGACCTTGTCTCAAAATAAAAAGGAGTAGGGATACATCTCTATGGAAAAGCACCCTGGGTTCAATCCCCAGTAGTCTGCCCAAAAAAGAAAAAAAAAATTCAAAATATGATTTTTTTCTTTTATAACATAGCAGCAAAATTTGTCCCTTGAATTTGCCACCAGAGTATTTGACCCTATTGGTTAAAGCATTATTTATATTCTAGAACTTTAGGCTGTATAACTAAAGGCTATAGAGAATCATATTGGATTTTTTGGTAGGGAGATGATTGTTCTGTTTCTTAAACTGCTTATTTCAAAATTGTTAAGAGGGTGGAATGAGATAATAGGTGTTAAATCCTAGGAAGTACTATATAGTAATTACTTGGTATTCTGAAATCCCTAATTTAAATCCATTTTTTGTGTGAAATTCTAGGTAACATCTATAAATTTTTTTTAGTTAGCCAAGAGAATTTTGAATGAGTTTTTGAGTAGTAAATTGCTCCAACTATTTAGTTTTAGATATTAACAACAATAAAAAAGTATTTTGCTTTTAGTGTGCATTTTAGAACAAGTAATAGTTAATTTTTAAGTATCTTATTAGAAATGCATGGAGGGAAATTTTGAAAAGTTATAATAAATAATGACAAATGACTATTAAATGTACAATGTCAGTTACTTAGATCATTGAATGTCTTTTGACTTGTTATCTGTATTAGTGTATTTTAGTGGCCTTTAAGAGTTATTTGTAAGGCTGGGGTTGTGGCTCAATGGTAGAGTGCTCACCTAGCATGTGTGAGACGCATTGGGTTCGATCCTCAGAACCATATAAAAAAGAATTTAAAAAGAGTTATTTGTAATGCTTTTCATAACTTTGGTCCCTGGTCTTGCTTTTTCCCAATTGCATTAAATATTTCATTCATTCATAAAGTTCATTGTCATTAAGGATTAAGGATAGGTTGAGCAGTGAGATCACAGGAGACAGCAAAAGAGTCAAAAATTCCTGCCTCGTGCAGCTTACATTTCAGTAGGGGGACTATAGACCATACGTGATATAAATAATATATATAAGTTGATAATAGGAAAAATAAAGGGAGGAGGAGTTACAGTTTAAATAAGTGATTAGATCAGAAAGAGCCTGCCAGCTAGTACTACAACACTGAGGTGAAAATAGCAGCCACAGCAAAGTGGTATGATTAAAGTGAAAGGTGTGTATGTATATATTTGAGGATGCCTTACAGTTCATTTTGAGGACTTTACCTTTGTATGCAATGGGAAATTATTGAAATTTTAAGCAGAATTAAAGTTTAGACACTAGAGTTTTCAGAAACAGATCTTGGAAGTTGTGGAGAAAACACTGGGTGAAAGATATTATTAGGTATTCTTATTCTTCTATTGAAGTGTGCAGGTTTTTATAATGAGAAGTATTTAAAAATATTCTGCTAAATGTCACAAAGAAATTTTTCAGTTTGAAAGAGACATTTAATATGGATAGTTAGCCAGGTTCAGTGGCTCATGTCTTTAATCCCAGCTACTTGGGAGGCTGAGGCTGGAGATTTGCAAGTTCTAGGCCAGCTTCTGCAATGTAGCAAGACCCTGCTTCCAAAAAGGGTGGGGGAAGCAGCTGGGGATATAGCTTTCTGGTGAAGCACCCCCTAGGTTCAATCTCCGGTTTAAAAAAAAAAAAAAAGGAAAAAGAAAAAAGTAATAATATGGGCAGTTAGCTTTTTTAAATGGTGATCTTTTATGACATGATCTCTAAAAAAGTTAATTGTGGTGTCATCAATAGGATTATATTACTCCTGGTAACAGTGGTAAAGGAGATGAATTGAAACATCTGATCTTATTTCTTCCATTAAGAATATTTACTTAAGAATTGATAATTACATAGATTAATGAATATGGTATAATAATGAATAAGAAATAAATGCTGGATTTTCCCATGAAGTAGAGTTCCTTTCAGTTTAAACAACCATTTAATTGTAAAATGGGGTAAGCATATTTTTTTCAATTTCATGAAGTGTTGATGGGAATTGTTTTTAATTTCTAAGTTACTTAAGTTTTGAGTGGAAGTGTAATGTATAATTCAGAGCTCAGTCTGGGATATCTCTTTGCTATGTTAGGCTCTAGAGTGCATTTTCCCTTCCTGTCTCTTGACTTGCCTCACCTATCTACTCTCTGTGGTGAATGAGTCAGCTATTTTATTCCAATTTTAATCTGCTATGCCCTCTGTTGATGACATCAAGTGTGAATAATCTTAGTTCACTAAATTAGACTAGATTATCTTCCAAGGTTTACCAAAACAATTGTTTTGAACACTTAATGTTTTTATTAATATTGCTTATATTGGACAATTGACATCTTGTTTCACAGCCTTGTTTTACAACCTTAATTTCCTATGTAGCCTTTTGTCTTGAACAGAATATTTTTACTGTCCCCCAAATAAAGCTCAATAATCTTTAAGTAGAATGCAAATATGTTCCAGACTCCCAGGTCTTCATTTCTGGTTATGCCATTCCATGCTTCTCAAATTCCCTTTTGTCCCCCTCTCTGTTTATCCAAATCTACCTGTATTTTAGTACCAAATTCCAATTAACCCTTAGACTAAAATGTTTTTTCTTCCTTTGGATTTTTATAGAGTTGATCATTCACAGTTCACCTTAGTCTCTGTTGCTAGTTTCGAGCCATTACTTCACTGTAATTTGCCAGGGTTCTCTAGAGAAACAGAACCAATAGGTGCTGTGTATGGGTGGGAGGCGGGGGTGAGGTGGAGTGGTGGTGATAATAGATGTTATAGAGAATTGGCTCAGGCAATTTTGGAAGCTGAGAAGTCCCAAGATCTGCAGGATGAGTTGGCAAGCTGGAGACCTAGGAGGGCCAAATATGTATTTCTAGTCCAAAGGCTAGCAGGCTTGAGATCTAGAAGGGCCAATGTTTCATTTTGAAGACAGGAAAAAGCTGATATCCTAATTTGTAGTGAGGAGAAATTCTCTCTTAGTATTTATTTTGTTCTTCATTCATGTGCCTTGTCTTACCATCTAGCATCTTGAAGGCAGGAAGTACAATTCATATTTGCTTTTTTACCATCTGTAAGTTCTTACATTCTTAACATGTAGTAGATATATCTGTATACTTTATAAGATGATGATGTTTTACAACTGGAAAGGATGTTTGAGGTTATTTTAGAATGGGGGAATAAGGAACAGCTTAAAAATTAAAATGGGAAGAGGGATAATAATATATCCTTTTCCTTGGGATTGGAAGAATGAAATGAAATAATATAATTTACGTGGAATCCTTTAGTACATTGCCTGTCACATAGTTAATGGCTCAACAGTTGCTTTACTTTGTACTAGAAAAGTTAAATGATAATTTAATTCTTTTGGCTTAGGAACAAGAATCAAAACAGTTCAAAGTCTTATAATTTGGGAAATTGTGAAAAAGTGAAATCTGGAGATTTCACTTCTTTTTCTTGCTCTTTTAATTTAAAAATGTACATAGTACATTTAGTTGTTCATATTCACAAGTATGTATTTAATTTGTGATCATGTCATTACTTCCTCAGGTTGACATGTTAAAGTTGCTGATTCATATCCAAGATTCTAATTAAATATTTAAACATAAGGCATCCTAACAAAGTGACATTTTGATTTTTTGAACATAAGTGTATTAAAGGTGTAGGTTGAAGCTATAGAAACTGAAATTACAGTAATTAAACATTTCAATATTTTAATTTGAACTTAAATATTATTCTTTAGAAGTTGTCAGTCATGGAGAAATAAAATTGCTTCTTTTTATTTCATATATTTTTATTTTTAGAGTTCCTCATAAGCACATCTTAAAGTCTTCAAGATGGTTCTAGCAGACCTTGGAAGAAAAATAACATCAGCATTGCGCTCATTGAGCAATGCCACCATAATCAATGAAGAGGTATGTAAAACATTATGTGAAATATATATGAGTGTGCATCTTCACTAGCATTGGAGAACTGGATTATTATAATCTGTGTTTATATTTATTTTGATGTAGATTCAATGCTTGTAGATAAAAATTTGTAGCCAAACCTAGTGCAGTGATTTGAGTCCTAGTGATTTGGGAGGTTGAATGACGAGAATCACAAGTTTGAAACCAGCCTGTGCAACTTAGTGAGAACCCTGCCTCTAAATAAATAAATAAACTGGGCATGTAGCTCAGTGGTAAAATGCCCTTGGTTCAATCACCAATATTATAAAAAAACAGAAACAAAAAATAACAAAAAAAACCCCTATAGCTTGATAATAGTAAAAAGTATTTTTCATCAAGAAATCAACTCTCCTACTGTTGTTTCATCTTTCTATACAGAACTTAAACAAAAATGACCTTAACTTACATGTAAAAAAGAACATCTTTTGAAATTGACTTAAATCTGGAAATGTACTTTTGCTTTCCATCTTGATGTAGACCTAAAACTCTGCTTCTTTCTTCCTTCATCTTTCTTCCCACCTGGGATTGAACTCAGGAGCACTCAACCACTGAGCGATATCCTCAGGCCTATTTTGAATTTTATTTAGTGACAGGGTCTCACTGAGTTGCTTAGCACCTTGCTGTTGCTGAGGCTGGCTTTGAACTCTTGATTCTCCTTCTTCAGCCTCCCAAGCAGATGGGATTACAGGTGTCCACCACCACTGGGCCTGGCTATTCTGCTTCTTTCTTCTTTGCTATGTATGTGCTTTTCTGATTTTTCTCAGTGACTTTTAATTAACATTTTTCTTATAAAAGGCTAGCATTTTTTTTTCTTGGTTTCTTTATTTTCGTTGAAATGCTTATTCACTTTTTTAGAGATTTTATAACTCCTTATATAGCATGTCTGAAATACCTTTCTTCCTGGTTTTAATGTTTTAAGATACTATATTCTTTTTATTTTTATCCTACTTATCTTTATGGCTTATTAATTGAAAAGAGATGTTTATAGTCTACAAGTATACTTATTATTATGTAGTAATAATGGAAACAGTACTGAATTTCATGTTAGAAGACCTTGATTAGAGTCCCACTTCAGCCATTTTTAGTAGCTGTGCAATGTGAATTTGGGTACATCAACTTTCATATTCCTTAATATATAAAATGGGAAAATAGCATTTACTTTACAAAATAATTTTAAAGACTATATGAGCTAATAGATTAAAAGTACTTTCTAAGCCAGGTACGATGGCGCACGCCTATAATCCCAGTGGCTTGGGAGGCTAAGGCAAAGGAGTGTGAGTTCAAAGCCATCCTTAGCAATTTAGCAACTCAGCAAGAACCTGTCTCTACATAAAATTTAAAAAGCTCTGGGGATATGGTTTAGTGGTTAAGTGCCCCTGGGTTCAATCCTGAATACCAGAAAAACCAAAAAAACAAAACCCAAAAAAACTTTCTAACCAGGTTCAGGGGTGCAAACCTGTAATTCCAGTGACTCAGGAGGCTGAGGCAAGAGGATTGCCAAGTTTGAGGCCTCAACAACTTAGTAAGACCCTTTTTCAAACTTAAGAAAAAATAAAAAGACGTGAAGATATAGGTCAATGGTAAAGTGCCTCTGGGTTTGATCCCTAATACTTAAGAAAGTATCTTTATATATATATTTTTTAATCAACACTTTAGCAAACTAATGGAAGTAAATAATTTTGAGACTATCTTAGAGATCACATAGTCCAGCCTCTCATTTAATAGAAACAGAAAGTTGGTTTTGAAACAGAAAGTAGGTTTCACATGTTTGTTTATTGGACAAACCAGAGTAGAATCCTGCCTGCCTGCCCCTCCAATTCCTCATATAGGGTTTTCTAATAATTTGTATTAAATAAATCATAACTTAAACCATTATTTAGTCTTGTAATCCAGAATAAATAAAACAATAGCTTTCCAAACAGTTTTCCCTGTTGAAAATATTGTAGCCCTTATTCTCTTTTTATTACTAGTAAGAAAAAGGAAACCTGAGAATTGCTTGTTGGAAATAGAACAGCATCTATTTCTTGAATTAGCAAAATAATACAGGAACAGAAAAGCTGCTAGCAGGTTAATAGGGAAAAATCCCCCTAATGAAAAATCAAGTCCAGTTTTATCAGACCTCTTTAATGAAGAAAAGAAAAACTTGATAACCCTCTATAGGGCAAATTAAGTGAAAGGAAGGAGAGAATTCATTCAGGAAGTATTTAAGGCCCTCATTTTTTCAGATAGGTTTGCTGTTTACCAAGGATAAAATAGTGTGTAAATAAGATTAAAATGTCTTTGCTTTTGGAGCTTATATTCTGTTTTATAAGAGTGTGTGTGTGTGTGTGTGTGTGTGTGTGTGTGTGTGTGTGTGTGTGTATGGCTAAACTTCATTTTAAGATGTTATAGTTTATGATCTCTTAAACACAGTGCCTCATAATTCTGTAGATGTACAGTGATAGTGAATTGGAGGATAATTTCCTTTGAAATTTTATTCTTCTTATCTGAGTGGAAGTAGTTAGACTGGGTAATTTTCTTCTATCACAGTTTCCTCTATGGTAGTCCATTTAAGAAAAGCAAATTTTGTGAATATATGCCACTATTTATCATTATCAGAGCTCTTCAGTGACACACACACACACAAAAACACATAAATGGCAACATCTGTTGTATAGAAACTTCCTTTAGCTTGAATATTGTTTATATTGTTCATGACTTCAATATAGGATAAAATCATGGTGATTAAATATTTGGTATGTAGAACTAAATGGGGTTATCTTATTTTGACAAAAGGATTGGACATTCAATAGTATTTTCTCTCCAAAACTAACTGAAAAACTTTCTCTTGCTGGTGGCACATGTTTGTAATGAAGATCACAAATTGAAGTAAAGCCTAAACAACTTAATAAGACTCTGTCTCAAAATTAAAAAATGAAAAGGCTAGGATGTAGTTCAATGATAAAATGCCCTGGGTTCAATCCCCAGTATTTCCCCCACCACACAAAAAAATCTTTCCTCTAATAGTATGGTGTTATCTTTATTTGGCTATAGTGACATAGGATAACTGATTAACTATTGTTTTTATGTAATTGAAATCGTACACTGAGTGCTTTAAATTTTTATTTATTTATTTTCAGGTATTAAATGCTATGCTAAAAGAAGTATGTACAGCATTATTAGAAGCGGATGTTAATATTAAACTAGTGAAGCAACTAAGAGAAAATGTTAAGTAAGTTGAATTGGTTAGGTATAAAACATAAAACTAAGTATAGTTTACTGGGATGGGGAGCAATTGGAAAGGTTGGTTTTTTAGCTTTATTATGAAACATGTCTGCTAAATGGCTCTGGAATAGTATAGAGCTTATTTGTTAGAAAACTGCATGGATGTATGTTTTCATAATGATGGTTCAAAGAACAAAGCATGGGCTGGGATATAGCTCTGTTGGTAGAGTGCTTGCTTTGCATGCATAAGGCCCTGGGTTCAATCCCCAGCACAACAAAAACAAAATAAAAAAAAGAAAAAGAAAAAGCCATGTTTAACTTTCATTTTAATTTTAGTCTTTTTATTTTGTTATTCCTTTACTTGGATGTATTCATATTTATTTGGATATATAAGATATTTTAATATAAAAGCCTTTGAACAATTCAGATTCTTTATAGAAAAGTAGTGCGATTTTATATTCTTCAGGGTTAAGATGACATTAACCAAGCTTATTCATTATTGATGAATATTCTCTTTGGTTCTCCTTTATGGTATCTCTGTTCGTATTTGATTGAAGGAGTACTGTGTGTGGTTTGGTTATTGTGTTCATTGGAGGAGGCATGGTCTGGGCAGGACCCATGGAACAATTTAGGCACCTACATTAACTGCTTGAATTCTAGCCCTTATCATGCTTAGCACATCTCTTTTTTCTGCTTTGTCCAGCCTGGGAGTAAACTTAGAATTTGTAGTATTTAAGCATTTAGCATTAGAGGAAGTTATTAGTCATGTTTTCTCTTATAAGGATGTATAAAATCATAAGCTGAAAGATAAATAAGTAGTATTTTGTAGTCCTTTGAGAGCAAACTAATATTTATACTTTTAACTGAAAGCCTTGCATCTAATACTTTATGATATAGTTCTTGATGGTGTAGTCTATAGTAATTAAATGCATTTTAGTTAAAAAACTATTAAGATGAATGATTGAATATTCTTAAATTCTGTGAAATAGAAGATTTTTTTAGAATTCCTTATCTGACTTTTCTCTTTGCTGTCCCAAACACCATCATCATGAAGGTCTGCTATTGATCTTGAAGAAATGGCATCTGGTCTTAACAAAAGGAAAATGATTCAACATGCTGTCTTTAAAGAACTCGTGAAGGTAAAATTCTGTCAAGACTACTCAGTGGGTAAAAGCATGCTAGCACTATAAATGAATACTATTTCAGAATTCTTTCTATTAAAATTTTATGGAATCATCTATGTTAAAATATTAACTGGCTGGGTGTGGTGGGGCATATCTCTAATCTCAGTGGCTCAGGAGGCTGAGGCAGGAGGATTGTGAGTTCAAAGCCAGCCTCAGCAATTTAGCAAGGCTCTAAGCAAGACCCTGTCTCTAAATAAAATATAAAACAAGCTGGGCATGTGGTTCAGGGGTTAGGTGCCCGTGGTTCAATCCCTGGTACCACACACACACACACACAAAAAAAAAATATCAAGTATTGTCTAGGATGGTCCTACTCTTGTGTACGAAAGTCATACCAGAAAGTATACTTTTTTATACTGTTCTTTATGAAAATAATTCCCTTTGAAAAGATAAATTTCTCAGCTCTTAGTTAGATTATGAGCAAATTTGAATTAGTGAAAAAAATTTTTTTCAAGTAGTAAATATATCCTTTTAACTATAGCTTGCTTTAGAGCTATTATTGCTGCTGCTGTTATGGTGAAAATTTTAGAGCTTTGAAAAAAATGTGTGTCGGACTGGGAATGTGGCTCAAGCGGTAGCGTTCTCACCTGGCATGCGTGCGGCCCAGGTTCGATCCTCAACACCACATACAAACAAAAATGTTTTGTCTGCCGAAAACTAAAAAATAAATATTAAAAATTTCTCTCTCTTAAAAAAAAATAAATAGAGTTCATTTCTAAAAAAAAAATGTGTGTCGATTAATGGGTAAAATAGGAACTGTAAAATAGTTTTTTTTTTTTTCCTTAGAGCAGTAGATGTCTGCTAGTGGTTTACTGTTTTATTCTTCAATATATATGAGTATTTTCATTTACTCTTTTGGTACCAATGCTGATAGGTATTTTGGAAAAGTCCTGTTATCTCGGATGGCTGTGTCATTCAGTTTGATCCACCTGCTTTATTAATTAAAAGAGAGAAAGAAAGTCAGGATTAAAAGAGTTAAAGAATTTGTTCACTTTATATTAATTTACAGTTGAAGCAAAATTTACAATCTCTTTGCGTTAAGGAAGTAACACCAAACTATACTATTAGTCATTGTACTCTTTATTACCAAATACTTGGAGTAAAAAAAAGAAAGTGCTTTTTCACTTAAGAATATCCTTGCTGAAATAGTAGAAATTATTAATTGTATTAAATATTGATCCTTGACTATAAATGTATTTCAAAAAATATTTTTAGTTGTAGATGGACACAATGTCTTTATTTTTTAATGTGTTGTTGAGATGAACTCAGTGCCTCACACATGCTAGGCAAGCACTCTACCAGCCCTGTAGATATATTTTTTAAGATTTTGTGTGATGAAATGGAAAGTATGCATAAAGTCCTGCTGTCCATAAAGTCCTGCTGTCGCTGAAATTTCATTATTCTCTTTATGAAAGCATGTTTTTACATAAATGAATAGTAGACATATATAGTTATTCACACATAGGTATTTGGCATACATTTTTTCCAAAGTGTAGTAACTAACAAAATATGGCTAGTGATGAAATTTGAGCTTTCATACATAAACTAGGAACTTGTATCTTTACCTTGAGTTTGATAGTACTTACTCTTCTGAGAAAACCAGTATTGACATTAATGAAGTTTTTGACATTATACAGTGAAATGTGTCAATAATGAAAGATTTATGTAGCTCAGGGAACCAGTATTTCAATGAACAATGCTACAAATTATGTACTAGTATAAGACCTAAGCAAAGTGCAAGATAAAATAATAGATTTTAATGTAAAAGTATGAAAGTTTACATGATTTCAGATTCCAGATTGCATCTAACCCTTACAAACTGCTGGGATTATAAAGGAGTTCTCAGACGGAAAAGTTGAAGGCTTTGTTCTAAAAGGTGGGAGGAAGAGAAGTGTAGATTTATAAATAATTATTTAGTAAAAATATATGTTCCAAATAAGGAGTCCGTAGAGAGCTGAATGATTCTCTATACCTTTTGGCAGAGGTATAGAGAATCATTCAGCATCACCATACTGAAAGGATCTAGGTGGAACTGGAAAGGATTTATGTTTTTTTTTTTTTAGTTGTAGATTGACACAATATTTTTATTTTGTTTATTTTTATGTGGTGCTGAGGATTGAACCCAGTGCCTCACATATGCTAGGTGAGCACTCTACCAGTGAGCCACAACCCCAGCCTGGATTTATGTTTTAAGATAGATTCTGCCCTTTTTAGAAGTTTGTGCAAGGCCAAGTTGATGCCTGGGAAAGGAATAACATATGGGTTTTTTTTTTTCTCTCTCTCTTTGAAATAAAGGTATAATAAGGATTATATAACCTTGTAGTGTGCTGTTTTTAAGTCCTTTGAGTTATAGAGCAAGGAGAGAGATAGCTGGGTCAAATGGTGGTTCCATTCCAAGTTTTCCAAGGAATCTCCATACTACTTTCCATATTGGCTGCACCAATTTGCAGTCCCACCAGCAATATATGAGTGTGCCTTTTACCCCCACATCTTCACCAACAATTATTGTATGCATAATAGCTGCCATTCTGACTGGAGATGAAATCTTAGAGTGTTTTGACTTGCATTTTTCTAATTGGTAGTGATGGTAAACAGTTTTTCATGTATTTGTTGACTGATTGTACATCATATTCTGAGAAGTGTCTCTTCAGGTCCTTGGCCCATTTATTGATTGGGTTATTTTATTTTTATTTTTTGTGTTTAGAAGGATTATATAACTTTGATGATATTGTTTAAGATGGGCTTGGCTGACTTTCTCCTAAAGATTTAGGCATTGTGGACCTCATGGTCTCTATTGTAACTATTGAGTTCTGCTTTTGAAACACAAAAGTAGTAAATAATGGACATAGCTTTGTCCCATTAGAACTTTATTTATTCGTTTGCCAACCTCTGGTCTAGGACATGAACTAGTACTGTGGATTTATCATTATATAGAGATAAGTATTTTAAGCTCCAAACGACTGACTCCTAATTGGATTATTTTGAATGAATTTAAATGCATCACGCTTGTTAGCTTAAGGACTTTTCTTTCATATATGACCTTTCCTTTTCCAATGATTCATTATAACATTGGTGATTATTTTTTATTAGCCTTCTGTATGTAATAACTTGGTAAGAGATCTTTGGCGTTGGAGAACTTAACATTTTGACAGAAAGTCCTTGACATGTTATTTGTAATTTTGCTTTATATAAATATTTGTCAAGGTGTACACAGGAACTCTCTAATGTCAGCCTCTCCTTATTGAGAATGTGTCATGTGACTAGTCTAAACTGAGATCAGCTTTATATATAAAATACACACTAGATTTGAAAACAGTATGGGAAAGGAAATGTAAATTATCCCCTTAAATAGATTACATGTTGAAATGATGAAATTTTGATTATATTTAGGTTAAAAAATATAAAAATTAGTTTTACTTTTTAATGTCACCCCTACAAGAAATTTAAAAATTCACACGTGACCTGCACACATATTTTTGTATTATATTTCTGCAGTGGTGATTTACTCCTTTGAGTCAAACGTGGTCTCATATTTTACTTCATATTTGAGCTTATTCTAAAAAACATTTTGAGATTCTTACCTCTGTATTGATTTGGTAGTAAAAGCTTGATTATGACTTCATAATACATGTTATATTCTTTAAAAAAATTTTTTTTGTAGTTACAGATGGACAGAATGCCTTTATTTTATTTATTTTTATATGGTGTTAAGGATGGAACCCAGTGCCTTACACATGCTAGACAAGCACTCTGCCACTGAGCTACAGCCCCAGCCCTCCAATGCATGTTATATTCTTAAATTTCACCCTTTATTTGTAAAGGGGAGTAGTAAAGTGATATTAGAAGTATTATGGTGACTTTTATATGAAAATATCCTTACATTATTTACAAGTTCTAGGGAGAAGAATTTTGAATGTAAGCATATGTTAACTTGATTTTATTTTTATTTTATATTTGGTATGTAGCTTGTAGACCCTGGAGTTAAAGCATGGACGCCCACAAAAGGAAAACAGAATGTGATTATGTTTGTTGGATTGCAAGGGAGTGGTAAAACAACAACATGTTCAAAGGTAAATTACACTTTCTTTTTAAAAAAAAGGTCCTATAGAAGATATATTTGTATAAATCAAATTTTATGTGAAAGCCCAGCTATATAATGCTGCTTTATAATTTTGTGTTAGTTGCTATATCCATTATGTTTTTTCGATGATTTTTTGTAACATAAGTAGAAAGAATTCCATTGTTTATCAGAGCTTTAGATTTATATATTTAACTATGCCAGCATTAATTTTTGATGGGAAAAAAAGAAGCATTCTGTCTTTTAAGGGCTTGAGTATATGATTTTTGAAGTGGAGAACAAGGGTAGTGTATACCTTATCTCCTATGACTTAAGACTCCCTTTTCAGTGTCCCACCCTATATAATATAGATCTTTACTTTGTATATCATTATACTACCCCTTACTGTATAGAATTAGGTGCCTAAGTGTTGTTATCAGATTTTTTTTTTTTTGGTCACAGGCTGCAATCATGCTATATTTAGGGAGGAAAAAGGAGGATTTTTTTTAGAGGATTATAATATTATTAGATTTTTTAAAAAAGTAAATTAACATTAATAGTAAATATTTTTTTCCCTTTGCAAATGGTAAGTAGTTAACATTTTTAAAAGTATTTTTTTAGTTGTAGATGGACACAATACCTTTATTTTATTTATTTATTTTTATGGGGTACTGAGGATTGATCCCAGAGCCTCACTCGTGCTTGGCAAGCACTCTACCACTGAGCTAAAGCCCCAGCCTAGTAGTTAACATTTTTAATGAAGACCGATTGCTGCTTTTTCATTTTATATGCTTTGAATGCAACAATATGACAATTAGAATTTAAATGGTTCTTAGCAAATTTGTAGTACTCAAAAGTCTTTAATAATATTATATTCAGGAGAATTATAAGCAGTTTAACTTTAATCATTAGATGAATGAATATAAATAGAAGAAATTCTGTGTATAGTAATTTGTTATGTCTTATGAAATTACATTTTTTAAATCTTCTTTTCCCAGTTAGCATATTATTACCAGAGGAAAGGTTGGAAGACCTGTTTGATATGTGCAGACACATTTAGAGCAGGTACTGGGTTAAAATTTAAAAACTGTTTTGTGTAATCTTTATTTTCAAGTTTGAGGATTAATTTACTCTTTTATTTTTTATTAGGGGCTTTTGACCAACTAAAACAGAATGCTACCAAAGCAAGAATTCCATTCTATGGAAGGTAGGTTACTATTTTCTTTTTTTTTATACTCATACCTCATCTGTCTAACTTTTTCATTTAAAAATGTTTAGGACTGGGCTGGGGATGTGGCTCAAGCAAGCGGTAGCGCGCTCGCCTGGCATGCGTGCGGCCCGGGTTTGATCCTCAGCACCACGTACAAACAAAGATGTGGTGTCTGCCGAAAACTAAAAAATAAATATTAAAAACTCTGAAAAAAAAATATTTAGGACTGGAATCAAAGCTCTGTAGTAGAGCACTTGCTTATGGTGTATAAGGCCCAAGGTTCAATCCCCAGCACCACAATTAAAACAAAATAAAAAATATTTAGCATATCATTTTCAAACATTTGTGTTTGGTTATCCTGAAATGGTTTCTCATTAAGAAACCATTAAAATGGTTATAATCTCAGATTATCTCAGGTAGAGATTCTGATCGTTGCTATTTCTCACTTTATATAGTGTTCAGTTAGGTAGTTAGTACATGTTAGGATGATTAAAAAATGGAGTCTAGATTGAATTTAGGACTTATTTAGGAGACTTCTTAATTTTTTTCATTGAATAATTTCAAACAGACTAAAGAGGAATGTTAGAAGTGAGTGTGGAGGTACACATCTGTAATCGTAGGTACTTTTTGGGAGGCTGAGGCAGGAGGATCACAAATTCAAGGCCAGCCTCAGAAATTTAGGGAAAACCCTTTGTCTCATAATTAAAAATAAAAAAAGTCACTAGCTTAATGGTAGAATGCCTTTGGGCTCAGCTCCCAATACCTCAAAAAAGTAAAAAGAATAAAGGTCAGCCTTTTTTTTTGAAACACAAAAACCCATTTCATCTGAATACAGTGATGTATACCTATAATCCCAGCTACTCTAGAGGCTGAGGTAGGATTGCAAGTGCTAGGACAGCCTGGGAAATTCATGAGACCCTGACTCAAAATAAACTAAAAAAATAGAGCATTTAAAAAGAAAAACAAAAAAAAGGTAGAGCATTTGCCTAGCATGCTCAAGGAACTGGGTTCAATTTCCATTACCACACACATATACGAAACACACACACACACCCTTCAGTCACACATATCTTCTTAGTAAGTGCATTCCTCCCTAAATTTGTTATTTATTTATTTATTTATTGCAGTACTGGAGATTGAACCCAGAGGGTATCTACCACAGAGCTATATCCTATTGCTTGTTATTTATTTATATTTTTTGAGACAGGGTCTCACTAAGTTGCTGAGGTTGGCCTTGAATTTATATCCTCCTGTTTCAGCCTCCTGAGTCAGATTACAGTGTGTACTGTCACACACTATAGCTCTGATTTTATTGTTCTTAATTTAGACGAAATCAGTTTGTTAAAACCTTACATATATTTTCTTTTGACAGTACTAGTCTGTATAATAGTTGCCATGAATCAGAAGAATCCGTGTTAAAATGTGATCTCAGTAATTGATTTTCAAGTTGAAAAATACTTTTCCTCCCAGGATTATGAAAATATGGCGAAAGGGATGAGATTAAATTCCTGTGGAGGATATTTTTCTTTTAACAAGCCGAAAGCCTAAATGATGGGCTGGGGATATAGCTCAGTTGGTAGAGTGCTTGCCTTGCATAAGGCCCTGGGTTTGATCCTCGGCATGGGGGAAAAAAAAAGCCTACGTAATTATATCATTTGACACAAATTTGACTTGTAAGAGCCTGTCTTAACATAGTTTCACAGAAACATTTATGTACTATTCTTCTTGGCTATGTTTTTAATAACAAGAAGTTGGAAGCCAGGTGTTGTGGTTTCATACCTGTAGTCTTAGCAACTCAGGAGGCTGAGGCAGAAAGATTGCAAGTTTGAGGCCAGCCTCAGGAACTTAGTGAGAAGCCCTAAGCAACTTTGTAAGATCTTGACTCAAAAGCAAAACCAAAAAACAAAAAGGGGAGTCTTGGGATGTAACTCAGTGGTAAAGCACCTCTGAGTTTAATCAGTATCAAAAAAAAAAAAAAAAGGAGCTGGAAAAATCTTCAGTTGTCCAACAGTAGGGCATTTATTTATTTAAAAAATGAAAGCATAGCTATCTCATGGTGTATTTTGGATAACCTAAAAATTATGTTTTACAAGAAAGTTTAATGGTTTTATGAAATGGCTACAGAAGGGTGTTAAATAGAAAAGCAAGTTTGAAATACTTTGTAACATGAGTTCAATTATTAAGATATTAGCCAGCCCGGTGGTATATGTCTGTAATCCCACCAACTCGGGAGGGTGAGGCGGGAGGATTGTGAGTTCACAGCCAGCCTCAGCAAAAGCGAGGCACTAAGTAACTCAGTAAGACCCTGTCTCTAAACAAAATACAAAATAGGGCTGGAGCTGTGGCTCAGTGGTCGAGTTCCCCCGAGTTCAATCCCCAGTACCAAAAAAAAAAAAAAAAAAAAAGAAGATGACATAAAAATTTTTAAGGAAACAGCTCATTGAGAAAAGGCATGCAATCATACAGGCTTTGTAGTTGACAAGTTGGATGAGTGCTTCATGCTCTTCTAGGAAGATTTCTGTGTTTAATACTTAATAGAAATTTAATTTGCTAAATTGAAATTGTGATCACTTTGACTTTTTCAGAATATATTAAAGATTGACTACCAATTTCCAAATCAGTAGTATTTGGAAGTTTTACTCTTGTGATTGTTAAATCATTTGTTGATATTAAATAGCTATACAGAAATGGATCCTGTTATCATTGCTTCTGAAGGAGTGGAGAAGTTCAAAAATGAAAATTTTGAAATTATTATTGTTGATACAAGTGGCCGCCACAAACAAGAAGATTCATTGTTTGAAGAAATGCTTCAAGTTGCTAATGCTATAGTAAGTAATTTTCCATGGAACACCATTTAAAGGACTTTTTGGTTAATTTAAAAACCTAATTGAATTTATGGTCAATACAAATTACTCCTTGACTATAATCAAATTCCAAGTAATTTCTTTCTGTTTTTGGGCATGTTAATCTGTGTGATAATGACTTTATCTCATCATTTTTCTTCTCTAGTATAGAAAAATAAAGAAAAATTAAAGAATCAACCTTTAATATATATTGCATTTCCTTTCTATAAGTTATTTAAATTCAATTAGAAATGATATTTTAGGTGAAGTTTGAAATTTTTTAAAAATAAAAATACATGTTAAGGGCTGGGGATGTGGCTCAGGAGGTAGTGCGCTTGCCTGGCGTGCGTGCGGTCCAGGTTTGATCCTCAGCACCACATACAAACAAAGATGTTGTGTGCGCCGAAAACTAAAAAATAAATATTGAAATTTCTCTCTCTCTCTCTCTCTCTCTCAAAAAAAAAGAAAATACATGTTAAAATGATTAATCACCATTTAATGTCTTTAAATTGTGATAGAAATAATGGAAATAACTCAAGGAGAAGCGGCAGTTTATAGAACCTTGTAGCATATAGTAGGAATTGGTTTTTGCCATTGGGTTGTTGGAATTCTTTGCTAACTAGTAGTTAGTGCTGATATGTTTCTTTTTAATTACTCTATTATTTTGACTACATTGAACAAATCTAAGGGAAGGAGTCTATTTTATTCATTTGATATCAGTATACACTCTTCATGTTATAAATGTTTTGGGTTTTTTTTTTTTTTTTTTTTTTTTTGGTATTTCTTTGCCTAGAATGCCATTCTTCAGATCTTCTTTTTTTAGGCCTCACCTCAAACATTAACCTTTAGAAAGGCTTTTTCTGACTGCCCTACCTAAGGATGCCTACCATATCATATCTCCCTTATACCATAAGGATGATTTTCTTATCTGCCTCTTTGTCTTCAGAACCCAGATGCTACCCTAATTTATATACTCTCTCAACAAATATTCATTACTTGAATAACTATTTATAGTAGATATTCTATAGTTTTTAATGGTGAAATTTGCTTGAGATCAGTAAAAATATTTTTCTTTTCTATTTAAACTTTCTAGCAACCTGATAATATTGTTTATGTGATGGATGCCTCCATTGGTCAGGCTTGTGAAGCCCAGGCTAAGGCTTTTAAAGATAAAGTAGATGTAGCCTCAGTAATAGTGACAAAACTTGATGGTCATGCAAAAGGAGGTGGTGCACTCAGTGCGTAAGTATCATTTATACTATTCCATGTGTTCAGCTTAGGTGATGTGTATTTGTGTGTGTGTGTGTGTGTGTGTGTGTTTTAGTCAGCTGATCCAAAGAACTGATAAGAACAGTGTAGATGAGGAAGTTTATTTTATCTTACACTTTTAGAGATTCAGTCCATTATTGGCCAACTCCATAGCTCTGGGCCCACAGTGAGGTAGAGGATAATGGCAGAATAGTATGATGGAGGAAAGCAATTCAGGACATGACAACCAGGAAACAAAACTCGGCTCACTATGGACAAAAAAATAAACCCCAAAGGATGTCCTCAGTTACCTACTTCCTCCAGCCGCACCCTATCTGCCTATAGTTACTATCCAATTAATCCATATCAAAGGAGTAATCCACTGATTAGGTTATACATAATTTAATCTTTTCACCTCTGAAAATTCTTGTGTTGTCTCATACATGAGCTTTTGGGGGACCCTTCTACTAAACCATAACACTGTATTTATGAATTTATTTATATTTTAAGATATATTCTAATTGTGGACCTATATGGCCTATAAGAGAAATTTAAGTAGAACAGAATTTTGGAATCTCTTAGATATAGTTCTGTTTTAACTAGTGAAAAGAAGTTTGAATGCTTGGACTTTTCTATTTGGCTTTGATAATCTGAAAATTTGTTTTCTTTTTTGAGCTTATTTTATATTTTTTCTGTGCAGAGTTGCTGCCACAAAAAGTCCAATTATTTTCATTGGCACAGGGGAACACATAGATGACTTTGAGCCTTTTAAAACACAACCTTTCATCAGCAAACTTCTGGGTACGTATAGTCATGGGGATATCAAAAAATCTATGAGAAATAATACTTCTTTAGAACGGATTAGGATTTTAATACTGTCTTCCCTGACCAGTTTCAGAAAATCATTTCTTGCTGTAACTTACCTTCTTCACTTGTAAAACAAGGGTGATATTTATCTACTTCTTGTGGCTACAGTTGTAAAGTGAGATTAGGTGTAAAGTTCTTTTGGCAAAGTTTTAGAAGACAATATAAAAATATGTAGTTGTTGTAATGTTTAAAAAAATAATATCTAAAGGTGACATAATTAGAAAGCATGGAATTTGGAGTTAAGCCCCAGCCAGAATCCCTGCTGTGTCTCCTCTTTATTGCTATTTAACTTTTCTAGTTCAGTTTTCTCACTTGTAAAATGTATTAAGAATATCTAATCTGCCTACCTTGCAAGGTTATTATGTATGTGAATATGTTTTGCATGATGTGAATCTAGTTATACTGTCAATTGTTAAATTTTCTATTCTGGGTCTTATAGGAATGGGTGACATTGAAGGACTGATAGATAAAGTTAACGAGTTGAAGCTGGATGACAATGAAGCACTCATAGAGAAGTTGAAACATGGTATGTGAGTAGCAAAAAAGCATTTGATCTCAGACATCTATCCTTGATTTCTTTTTGATAAATCTACTGTAATTCATTTGAAATGATAATATCTGTTATTAGAGTCAGTTCTTGAAGTGTTTATTGTTTTAATGATTTATATATAAATCATTTTAATTCTTAGGCATCTGAGCAGTTACAAAATCTAGTATTTTTTTATTGACTTGTAATCAAATTACCTTAAGATTAAAATCAAGGCTTTCATGAAGAAAAATAGATGAAAAGTGAGTTAGAACATGCTTTTCTGTTTGTTTTCTTCTAAAAAATATTTGTTTTCTTCGTGTGTGTGTGTGTGTGTGTGTGTGTGTGTGTATGTATAGTATTATAAAATATACAAAAAGAAATTTAAAAAAAGATTAAATACACAAACACAAACTCTGTCTTCACTCCACATGACAGACCACTCCTGTGGAGAAGTATAAGACTGCAATTAAGAGCTTAACATTCTTGGTATAAATACTTGGATTTGTATCTCTGATCTGTTTTTAGCTGTGTAACTTTTTCTAACTACTTAGCCTCAATTTCCTTATCCGTAAGAATTACATTATACTACGATATATGGTTGTGAAGATTACATTAACTGATGGATGTGAAATGTCCCACATGTCATAAGCACTCAACATATTATTATTGACCATTCTAGTTTTTTTTCAAATGATCTTTTCTCTTGAATTAAGTCCCATGGCTATATACTTTTCTGAAGCCTCTTTGCTCCATTTTGTTCATCTTGTCAGGTACTCTTTTTAATTATTGGTGTTTTGCAGGAATCATCTTAGACTATCTTCTTTCTCTGCAGCTTTAAACCTGTTAAACTGTATGTTTACTAGACCATTCTTGGATATTACACAGACATCTCAAAATAAACATATCATTATCTTCTTATCTCAACCTCCTACTTTACTGTGATCATTAATGACTCTTTAACATCATTTGTCTTGTTGCCAGAGTCAGAAACTTGGGTGGTGGTATTATTTTTTATTCTTTGTTGCGCTGCTCCCCGCTTTTCTTGTCAGTCAAGTAACTAGCCTAGTAATTCTGTTTCCTTTATATCTCCATTTTATCCAGCTACCCTGCAAATATGCTGGTTAATCTCTTGCCTTGATTGCTTATTTTAAGTTTTCCAGCTTTTCAGAGTCTTTCCATTTGATCTGTTATTATACTGCTGAAAAAAAGATGTTTCAGAAATGGAAATATGATTCTATTTTTGCCCTTCATAGAATCCTTTAGTGACTTCCTATTGTCCAAGTCATGTTTTGGCACCGTTGTACTTCGCATTCTGTGTGTGGGACTTGCCTTTGCTAGTCCTATTAAATACATCCTCTCTTCTTCCTACCTTTACCCTCTTTTTTCCTAGCAAGGCTGGTTAACTTTGTGATCAAATTTCAGATCTCTCCTTAAGTCCCTCTTCAAGAATATTTTATCTGATCTCTAGACTAAGTTAGAACCTTTTAATGTTTGTTTTCATTGCACCCTATAATTGATTTTGTTATTCCTCATTATATCTGATTTCTTTGCTTGAAGGTGAAGGTAGAGTTCATGGCTGTGTTCTTCATCTTTTATGTTCACAGTACCTATCTCAGTGTCTGGCATGTAGTAAGGTCTTCAGTAAATATTGATAAAATGAATTTATTCTTAATTGCCTGATTTTTCTCTCCTACCTCCCTATATCTTAATGAACTTTAGCACTGCTTGTATGTACCACTTCCAAATTCGGTGGTACTTTCTGTCTCCTGGCTCTTTTCTTATTTCTCTATATTTTTATTTCTGTTCCTAAAATCCTACTCATTTCTGAGGCCACCAAGGATCCTTTCCAAATGTAGTGGTGATTTTCCTCATAGTCCTTGGTTCCTAATATTTGACTGTGTATCTGCCTTTTCTATTTTAAACTTTTCATTTGAGTTCCATGGTGTTGGATTTCCTATATAGATAGTTTCAGTAGTAATTTATTTAAAAATGGCCACATAGATATTTGAGCTCTACCTTCTCTTCCACTATTTTTAAAAATTTATTTTTTAGTTGTAGTTGGACACAGTACCTTTATTTAATATTTATATGTGGTGCTGAGGATCCAACCCAGCGCCTTGTACGTGCTACGCGAGTGCTCTACTGCTGAGCCACAATGCTAGCCCACCTCTTCCACTATTTTAACTCTGTGTTTCTGGCTATCTGCTGTAACCTTTTAAAAAAAAAATTTTTTTAAATAGAAAATACTCTTTGTTCTTTTCCTCATTCTCTTTTTAAAATTGAAGTTAATTTACATACAATGAAATGCTCATATCCTAAGGTTACCATTCCATCTTTTTTAAAAATTTTTCAAATGCATAGTAACCCACACCCCATGAAGAAACAGACCATTTCCATTACCCTAGAAATTTTGCTGTTTTATCCCAGTAACAGTTCATATGTTAGAAATTCTAGAATATGTTAGAAAATTCTAGAATATCTTTTGAAATCTTTGACCAGGCATAATATTTTCAGTAGTTATTCATGTGGTTATTTGTTCTTTTTATTGCTGATTAGTAGTTCATCCACAGATTACTCATTTTCTGTTCATGAACAGCTATGCTATGCTATTTAAGGAACCTCAGCCAGGCATGGTGGTGCATGCCTGTAATCCAGCAACTTAGGAGGCCGAAGCAGGAGGATTCCAAATTCAAGGCCAGCCTCAGCAACTTTATCAAGGCTCTAAGCAACAGTGAGACTCTGTCTCAAAAAAGAAAAAGGGGACTTGGGTTGTAGCTCAGTGGTACAGCCTAGCATGTGTGAGGCACTGGGTTCTATCCTCAGCATCACATAAAAATAAATAAATAAATAAAGGTATTATGTTCATCTACAACTAAAAAAAATATTAAAAAAGAAAAAGGGCATGGGATATAGCTCAGTGGTAAAGCACTCCTGGGTTTAATCCCCAAGTAACAACAACAAAACTTAGAAATCTCAAATAATCTTCTAAAATATTTTTGCTGTTCTACATTCTCACCGTTAGTACATGGACATTTTATGTGTTTCACTTTTGGAGTCAACCCTTAATTTAGGTACCCTAGTAAGCACCTAGTTTGTATACCTTGTTTTGGAGTTTCCTATGTATTTGTATTTGTCTATATTTTCTGATAGAAGGTGACTTTCCCAGGGATAGATCCTGTCAGTGTGCCTGTATATTCCCTATAGCATTCACTCTATCATCGTGCACATAATAACTGCTCAGTGAGTGTTTATTGATTGGGTATTTTATAAATATGCTTCAAAATGAATCTGTGATTAAGGAAAAGATTAGTTTTATTGAATGGAGATGTACATTTGCTAATATATCTGAATCATTTATATTGTATTTCAGGTCAGTTTACGTTGCGAGACATGTATGAACAATTTCAAAATATCATGAAAATGGGCCCGTTCAGTCAGATCTTGGTTAGTTATCCTTAAAAGTTTGTTTATGCCTTTTTTTTTATTAAAAATTCTAGATATATTTTCTTTAATTCTTTGGATAAAAATGTATATTTTAAGACTTAATATTAAAGCCAATATTCAAATGTAGACATTATGAATAATTAATTTAATCTCTTAATTACTTTGTGTTTAATTTTGTTATAGGGAATGATCCCTGGTTTTGGAACAGATTTTATGAGCAAAGGAAATGAACAGGAGTCAATGGCAAGGCTAAAGAAATTAATGACAATAATGGATAGTATGAATGATCAAGGTAAGATCAGATTTCTTGACTTGGGACAGTGTTTTGAAAAAATATTAGTAAGTTGAGTTTTCTTATTAAAAGATGAAAAAGTTTTTTACTAAAGGAAAAATAGTAACCTGAAAGTATTTAAGTGTTATGATTATTGTATTGACTTCATTACTGAGAGAAATGCTTAATATAGTTTTTCTTCAGGTGAGTTCCAAAATAAGAACCTTAGTTCACTGTGATGTTGATGGAAATAGGGGGAAAATGGAGTCAAATTTAGGGGAATACTGGGTTTATAAAGTTAAATGTTTGTTTACTCTGTCTTTTCAGCAGTTTAATATGCCAGAGTACAGAGAGACAATGTAAGCAAAACAGCTTTTACTTTTGAAATTCTCAGAGTTTCAGTCTTCTCTGAAATATAACTCTGCTCTATCTCTGTCATACTATATTATTATTAGCTCTATTACTTCTAGGTCTTTTATCTGGTCTTCCATTAGCATTTCTAATCATATGACCCTTTTCCACCAATTTTTTTAGCATACTTTTTTTTTTCACTTAGTTTTTAGGCCTTCTACTCTACCACTTCTTCAACTTGACCTCTGACCTCATTTACAAAGAAAATTTGATAACAATTCCCCCAACTTTTAGCTAACTTACCTGTAGGATTGTGACAAACAAACCATTCTTAGCCCTCTTCATGCTTTTTCAAGAACCTATCAGTAAAATCCTTTTCTATAACTCAGGCCCTACTCATCTACTGATTTTGTTTAACTCTGTGACTCTTTTTAGTCAAGCTTTAAAAGAACAGTTGATACTCTCCTTTAAACCACTGAAATCTGACTTCTATCCTTATTCATTACTCTGGAGTAGTTCACATAAAGGTATGTAGTAACTTCCTATTGTATTGATCTTCTCTAGTGGATATATATTAGCTTCTTGTTGCTATGACATAACTGAGAAAACTAACTTAGAAGAGGAAAGATTTATTTTGGCTCCTGGTTTCAGAGGTTTTAGTTCATGGTCGTTGGCTCAATAGCTTTTAGGACTATGGCAAGGTAGAAATGTGGTAAAAAGCCATAGCCAGGAGAGCTGAGAGAGACAGAAGATGAGGCCAGGGACAAGATAGTAGTCTCTGAAGATGTGCCCTGAGATCTACTTCTTCCATCCATGCTCCACATGCCAATCTATAGTTTCTACTATCTTCCATTAGGTCATTCAGCTATTAGTGATTAACCCATCAAGGAGATCAGAATCCTCATGATCCAATCATATTTTTTTTTTTAAGAGAGAATTTTTAATATTTATTTTTTAGTTCTAGGCGGACACAACATCTTTGTTTGTATGTGGTGCTGAGGATCGAACCTGGGCCGCATGCATGCCAGGCGAACGCGCTACCGCTAGAGCCACATCCCCAGCCCCCAATCAATTCTTAAAACCCAACTTTTGGACATTGGGGACTAAGCCTGCAACACACGAGTCTTTGTTGGACACTTCATACCTGAATCATTCTTTTTCTTGATCAACTTTACAACATTGAATGTTGTTAATCACCTTTTTTCCTTGATTTCCATTATACCGTCTCTTCACTTTTAACCATGCCTTTCTTGTTACCATAGTCTCTTTTACTGATCTCTTTCTCAGCCCAGCTTTTTAATGATTCTGTCCTCAGCCAGTGTTTTTATCATTCTGTTCCTTTTTGTGCTTTACCTACTACCTGATGATGATGGTGGTGGAGGGTGGTGATTTTGTAGTCATTAGCTGTTTCCTGAGCTCCAGGTTTTAATAGTAACCACAAATAAGATTGTCTACATCTTCAATTCTGGAAATTTTTTTGCATATAGAATTAGTAATTGTAGCCATATCAAGTATTTACTCTGCCAGGCACTATCGTGAACACTGAATATATATAAGCCATTTAATTATCACAATACTCTTAAGGGATAGCCCATTATTTTCTTTTTCAGACCAGCAAAATGAAGTACAGGTAAGTTGAGTAATTTGCTTACGGTCACTAACAAGTGGAGAGGCTGTGCTTCAACCTCAACATTCTAAGTCCACATTCGCAATCATTAGCTGTGAGACGTAGTCACTCTCAAGTATTTGAAAGTATTTTTTGTGCTTGGCAAAGAGAAATATATATGAATAAAAGTGCCAGGTAAATGTATTTCAAGTTAATATATGAAAAGAGTTTCCAGCCTGGGTGTGGTAATGCACACCTATAACTTGGGGAGTCTAAAGCAGTATAATCACAAATTCAAAGTCAGCCTGAGACCCTGTCTCAAAACATACCACAAAAAGAAAAAAAAATTATAGATATAACAGAATGGCATAGATTGCCTTAATTTATGTAATGGGTCATCTCTTCTATGGTTATTAAGACTTTAGAGTCTAAACAGCAGTTATTAAGGGATGTTATAAAGATAATGCAGACATAATAGAAAATTTTGTCTAAAGACCATCCCATTCCTGAGATGGTATGCAACTAAAACCAGAAGAACTGTACCTTGTATTCCGAGTGTTCAAAAAAAAATTAACAATAAAGAAAAAACTGGAGGGAATTAACTTCTACTACATGTGTTTCTATAGAAAGGATTAAAATAGGAGTAATTACTTGATATGTACTAATGTTTTTTTTAAATAGGACCTTCCTCCTTCTGTTACATAGCCTAAATTTATGAGTTAACATTTAATAGTTATATAAGATAGTTTTAAGGTGAATACCTCTCTTCTTTTTTGGAATATACCATACACATCTGGTATGTAGAGGACATAGAAAGGGTAGACCTAGGAGATATGGAGATAGTGAACATGGAATTTCATAGTTCTCAGAATGTTCTTATTTTACCTAAGGATACTGTTAAGTATCCTTTTGAATATATTCCCCTAAATTTTTAAAAAATCAAATGCATACATTGCAAATGATAACATTTGTTAAATCTGCTTGATGGTTTGCTCATTTATTATACCTATTTTTTTGTATAAGATTTTGTAGTTTAAAAAGAACAGAAAGATGAAGTGTGGTTATCCCTTTAAAAAACATATCTGCCCAACTCTGTTTTGATGATGAATGGCAATTTTATGTTAAATGAAAGTAATTGACTTTGCCTACAGAACTGGACAGTACAGATGGTGCCAAGGTTTTTAGTAAGCAACCAGGAAGAATCCAAAGAGTAGCACGAGGATCAGGTGTATCAACAAGAGATGTTCAGGAACTTTTGACACAATATACCAAGTTTGCACAGATGGTAAAAAAGATGGGAGGTATCAAAGGACTTTTCAAAGGTAAGAAAAATAAGCTCATCATTAATTAATAGACTGAAAAAAAGTTGAGAAACTAGTAAAGTTTAGTACTGAATTATTAAAAAATTCATTGCTGAATTTCATGTTGGTTTAGTAGTACCAGGATTTATAATGTGATACGATTTATTTGCTTTCAGATTAAAGATAATAAACATTACTATGGAAAAAAAAATGAATGATTTTGTTTTTATGAACATATATTATTGTAGAAAATTTAGAGAATATAAAGCATAAGAAAATAACTTGAAAACACACTCTACTTTTCAGAGAATAGAATCCTATAGTGCTATTGCAAATAACAATTGCTATAACTACTACTTTCTGATAAATTGTAATTTTTTTATATATTGCCAAATATTCCTGAAAATATAACATTTAACTATTGACTAGAACTATTTCAGTTATGCATGTGTCTTTTTCCTTTTTTCTTTTTTGTGGTGCTGAGGAATTAACCTAGGGTCTCACATGTATTAGGCAAGCACTGTACCACTGAGTATATATCCTTTGCCTTGTTTTATTTTTTGTGTGACTTTCTATACCAATTGGAATTCATTTTGCTGTGTATTATATAAGATAAAAGATAAGTTTGTTTTTCCAAAGAGTTGATCAACTCTTCTAGTCCTCTTTTAAATTACTTTATATAATGTAAACACTTATTATAATGAATTTTTTATTTAAAAATACTGTTGATTAGGCAGATACGAAGATGAATAGTTTCTACAAAGAATGAATATTAATAGATAGATTTAATTCCCTTTGGTTTTGCACACTTTCCTTTTTTTCGTTGTTTGGCTATATTTTCTCTTTTGTGACATGACAGATTTAAAATTGGTTATAATTTCCAACATCCCAAGCCATTTTATATTGTGATTAGTAAACACATAAGTCAGATTTAACATCATCTTCAAGTGACCCTGACTATTCTTGATAGAATTACCGAAGATCTATTAATCAAAACTTAGATATCTAATAATTGGTTCATAGATAAAGGCACAACCAAGATAAAATGGGCAGTGAATGTACACTCATCGTTATCACACTAAAAAGTTTAATTTTGGGGGGAAGTTTTAAGTCCTGAAAAAGAAATTCTTAGAACAAATTACTACCAATAAACACAGAATTAACATCTTCCACAGATTAATTCTGCTTTTTATCACATAAACATTTTATCTTTCACTAACAGCCTTTTTTTTTTCCCTTTCATGGTACTGGGGTTTGAACCGATGGACTTTATCACTAAGCTACACCCACTATCCTTTTCATTTTTATTTTGAGATAAGGTCTTGCTAAATTGTCAGGTAGGCCCTGAGCTTGTGATCCTCTGCCTCAGTTTCCTTAATCCCTGGGATTACAGACATGGGCTACCATTTACAGACTTTAACTGTTAGTCTTAATTCACATAATTTATTTAGATTGGTTGGCTGTGATCAGAGAATCAGGGGCAGCTTTGGTTTGTTTTTATTAAATGCTCTGAGAAGTACCACAGTTAATGTTCCTTTTACATAAATAATTTTGCTGAAGGAGTTCTACTCATTCATTATTGTTGCAATGATAATCTCTTTTGCTTCCTGTCTCAATCTCCAGTACCAAAACCAAAAAACTTTATATACATATATACATACATACATACATATATATGTGTATATATTATATTATATTATACACATATATATGTGTATATATTATATTAAATTATAATATTATATATTATAATTTATATTATATATATATAATTTTTTTCCTATTAAGTTCTCTTGGGTTGATACTTTCAAATTCTTTTACTAGTCATGCATTCTCTCAATTAATCCATATCTATAAACTCAGTATTTTTTCTGACCTTTCCTCATATTACTATTAAGCAACTGTTATTGTAACTTATAGTTAATAACTATTATGTGCACTTTGTTATAGTTACTCATATCATGAACAGATATGAGTAAAAGTGTTAGACAAAAAGTATAGCCTTAAGAAAATCCTTAACATGTTCTTCTATATAGAATTTCATTTGTTATTCCTCAAAAATATGTAATTAAAATAAACATAGTAGGGAATAGGTAGTAATGGAAATAATTGTGTCAAGATGATAAGATTATAGGTGAATATTATCTTTTTTTTTTCATTTACTCACTTCAAACTTTCTCTGATACCGTGATTACATTAATCTTATACTCATTCAAAATATCCTTTTTTCAGGTGGTGACATGTCTAAGAATGTGAGCCAATCACAGATGGCAAAATTGAATCAACAAATGGCCAAAATGATGGATCCAAGAGTACTTCACCACATGGGTAAGTATAAAGTTGTTGCCAATAGCTAATATATAGTTTAATTGATAAGGATTGAGTTTTAATGGTAATCCTTCTATTATGATAGTTTGAAAATCTTTTCAAAAGATATGTATTTTGAGGGAAAAGGTCATAAGTTAATGTTAATAGTATTAGATAAACTGAAGTTTTATTTATTCCTCTGCTGTGTGATTTTTGAGCAAGCTAATCACCTTTTATTAATTCTTGTTCCTAGTGATCTTTTGTCCTATTTTGGAACTGTATATTTTCAGTGATGGGTCTTCGAAATTATATAAGAATTTTGAACTCCAATTCAATGTGTAACCTTTGAAAATTCCCTTAAACTTTGAATCTTGGGTTCCTTTTTTTTTTTTGGTGTTAGGGATTGAACCCAGGGCCTTGTGCATGTGAGGCAAGTACTCTACCAACTGAGCTATATCCCCAGCACTAGTAGGTGTTTAATAAATGGTGAATTCTTTTTTTCCTGGAAGTCCTTTGAAATAATGCCCCCCACCCCCCAAGTTTTAAGTAACACAGTTCTCTTTATAAGAAGACTTGATCTTTTCAGAAAAAAATTTTTTTTGTTTAGATTTATTTACTCTTGGAAAGGTACTGTTCAATGGTACTGTTTTCTTATTTCTCACAGGAATTTGAGGTGGATTATTTATTCTCTAATAGATTAGGATTCTGGTGATAATTCCAATTTTTAGTTGATGTGTTCTTTAAGGTTAACTATTGCAATCAGAATACGATGTGTTTTTAGAAATTGAAGTACGTGTTAGGCAAAAGTTACAGATGTTTCAAGTTCTGCTTAGTAATTATCTGTTTTCTACTTTAGGTGGCATGGCAGGACTTCAGTCAATGATGAGGCAGTTTCAACAGGGTGCTGCTGGCAATATGAAAGGCATGATGGGATTCAATAATATGTAAAGAAGATGCCTTAATATAAACTGACTTGGTTGATTACATTATTTGCTGAGACCTCAGAGTTTTCCCTCCATTTTGCAAACGGGAAAAAAAAATAGTACTTTTCTTGCCCTCTTTTTCCTTTTGTCTTTTCCCTTTCTTTCTTCTTCCCTCCCTTCTTTTGATATATGGGAGGAATATATGGTTTTTGTGAAAATCATTATATTTCTGTTTGAAAATTTTTCTTTTAGTTTTCATCATCTTAACACTTCTTAAGTTAAACAAATCATGATGTAAAATTTTAGTACTTAAAGGTTTTTAATTGTCTCAAAGGCCAAGCATTACATTTGTAAACAAGTCCTGGTCAGTAAGTTACATGATGTCTCAATAAAAGTGCTGTAAAATAAACTTCAAAATGGTTATAAGTTAAGGGGTTGTTAACTTTCTTTATGGTTTAAAAGGGTCAGTATATCAAAAAAGAAAAGATAGAAAAGGCAGTAGATAAATGTCATGTATAACTATGCCTAGAAATAGACCTTTGGTGAGAAATATAGTATAATAATTTAACCATGAGTATTAGGATATTTTATTTATCATAGAATAACTAAAGTTATTTTTTACCATGGAAAAATCTTAGTGCTTCCATTTAGATTGAAATTGAGAATTTGGTTCTAATTCACAATGTATTATGTTTTGTATACAACTTGCATTTTTAACCTATTTTTAAAGCCTTCCTCTGGTAATCTTTGATTTTTAAATTTTTTATTTATTTATTTATTCTATTCGTTTTTTTGCAATGCTTGGAGTTGAAACCAGTGGTGCTCTACTACTGAGCTACATCCACAATCCCTTTTGTTTTTTATTTTGAGACAGTGTCTCATTAAGTTGCCCAGGCTGACCTTGAACTGAGACTCTCTGGTCTCAGTCTGATGAATTGCTGGGATTACAGGCATGCTCCATTATTCCTAGCTTTTTTTTTTTTTTTTTTTATATTTAGTTGTAGATGGACACAATACCTTTATTTTATTTATTTATTTTTATAAATAATTGGTAGAGGCAAGTGCTCTACCATTGAGCTACACAAACCTAGATCATGCCCAGATTTTGAAAAGGCTCTACCAGAACAACACAACTTTGAAGTATTTGTTTTCTTTTGCTTTAGTAGTTAATGTATAGACATCCTATTGTGAAATTGATCTGGTTATTTTGCCTTGGATTACTACATAGTTCATTGAGAACAATTTTTTTTTTTTTTTTTAAGAAAATGGGGGTTTTGCTTAGTTGTGCAGGCTGGCCCTGATCTCTTGTGCTCAAGTGATCCTCCTGCCTCAGCCTCCCAAGTAGCACACTGGACTACCAGTGTGCTTGTACCTGTCTAGAACAATAGCTTTTAAATTAAGTATGGAATTAATTGAAAATCCTAGAATAATTACTATAGCTATTTATTATTGACATGAAGATAATAGAGGGTGTAACAATGTATTCTGAGCTAGGATAAACTGATTTTTAACAAAGGATTGATTTGTAGGAGGAAGATTTAAACAAAAGAAATAGCTAGTTTTTATAGAATTATTTTTTTATGAGTGAAGTGTCTTAAAAGGTCTTAAAAACCAAAGTATCTTTTAAAAGAAATTACATAAAGAATACAACTGATTTTCTTTATTTTTTACTTGGGAAAAGATTTTATATTCCAGTAAATTTTTTTACCAGATAAAGACAAAAATATTCCTACAGAACATTGTATCTCTGTAAAACTTATGTGTTTTGGGTTCTGAAGAAATGTCATAGCAAGGTCCAGCTATAGAAATTTGACAACAGAGAAAATATTGTTTTCCAAATAGTTCCTAATTAAACTGTTGCATACCACTTTTCTGGGTATGCATTTTTTTATTTCTATTCTCAGGAAAACAATTTTGCATTTTGACCAAAAAAGAGAAATAAGAGTCTCTTTTAGCTACAGTAACCCTTGTAGCTTCAGTATAGGTTTTAATATTTCTGTGTGTGTTGTAAACTGTTTTTTAGAAACTAAAATAACAGTGGCAAAGGACAGCTAAAAGTGCAAAATACCTCTGTCAGCTTTCATTTCTTTCCTTTTGTGTTAATTTGAACAATTTTCCTTTTATTTTTCACTATTTTTAAATTGTTTCCTTAACTTTTTGATATGTGATATATGCCCTATTTATATTTAGGCCACTAGCTAGATCTAATATTTATTGTACAACATTGAATCCTCTTTAAATTTTATTATAATCTTAAAAACAAACATGAATTAAGAATAAATAGTGTCAAGATTATGATGCTCATTGTATTCTCTAACCAAAAAGAAAAAGAAGGAAAGTAATAGAAACAAATTGCAAAACCAAGAAAGGGCAGATTTGATTTAAATGTGCTATATATCAATGTTCTGAAAGTACCATATTTGCTGGCATATTTAAAATGTATTTATATACACAGTGCATTGCAATCTAATAGAGGAAATTTTTGGAAATAAGTACTTTCATCTTGTCTAAGTGTTGCATAAACTATTATTTTGTTCGACTGAATACATAATTATTTTGATGTGACCTTGAATAGAAATATAGTATCACATAACTAAAAAGAGATTTAATGTTATCAGTGAATACTAATAAACAGATAGCAATAAACTCAGAAAATTTAATGGAATTAAAGTCCCATATCATGTATAGTAATGTAAAGGTAAAATTTATTTCAATAAAATTTATTTTCATTTATTTCAGTAAATTAAAGTTTATTTCAATGAATTTAAGATGTACAAAATGCAAATCACAAAATTCAAGTGAATTTTTTATAAGTAACTTTAATATATATGAATATATAAACAAACATTTTGAGTAAAAATGGAACAAAGCATTTAAAATAAAAATGTGAGCTGACTACAGTGGTGCATGCCTGTAATCCCAGCAGTTCAGGAGGCTTACACAGGAGGAATGCAAATTTGAGGCGGTCTTGCAATTTAACAAGACACTGTGTCAAAAAGGATTGGGGGGCTGGGGCTGTAGCTCTGTGGTAGAGCACTTGCTTTGCATGTGTGAGGCACTGGGTTCTATCCTTGGCATCACATAAAAATAAGTAAAGATATTGTGTCAATCTGCAACTAAAAAAATATTTTAAAAAAAGGACTGAGGATGTAGCTCAATGATAAAGCACTTGTGGGTTCAAGCCCCAGTACCAATAAATAAATAAATAATAAAGCGAAGGAATTTCAATTTGGTGTTTATATTACACTAAAGGAAAGTATTTTACTATTTGAATACAGAGAACAGCCAAAGAATTTGAAAGAACTTTTAACAAATCTGTGTCAGTGAAAATTATGGTTAAATAGCAACATAATTGTTGACTTTTCTCAAAACCTAAAAATAATCATTAAATAAAACTATGTAAATAATCATATCCAAATCAGAAAGCCATCATCACAGTTCAAATCTAGATGGTTTTCTTTATCACTGGCGTTCATTGGATTAGAAACAAAGTCATTGTCTTTAAAATTCTGCTTCAAATTCTAGATGCCATTTTCTAAATATTAATTGTTCCATTGCACTTGAACTTAATGGTTTTTTTTTGTTTTTGAGATATGAATTATAGGAATGAGAAATTTACATCTCAAATGCAGAGGGATTAATTTAAACTTTAGGTCAGCTTGTAGGCTGTGATATTTTATTGTAGTAAAGTAGTTAATTGATGTAAAATTTTGCTGACAATTTTTCCTCCTGCTTTGCTACTAGCAGTAGATAATTGTGCTTAATTTTGTGTGGTTGCTTACCTAAGACCCTAGGCTTCTAATCCCTTGCATTGCCCTTTTGTCTGTAATATGGGCATATTGAGTACAAGGTAATTTTTATTTATGAGGAAGTGAAAATATTCTTTATGATATTTAGGATGGTGCTGCTATGGAAGTTCTTGTTTTTGACATGCATATGCTACTTTTTGCAGTTCTCATTTTTTGTCTCTCTTCATTTGAAGAGCACATTATATCTTTTAACTTCACTTGGATTAAAGGTTCTCATATTTGCCTCAAATAAAGCATTTATCAGTACTGGTTGGATCATAAGGAAAAACAGCTAATAAGTTGCACAGTA